TCAATTCTGAAGGCCGCTGTGTCATAACCTTTACACATTTGCATAAACATGCTGTGCTTCTCTCTAGCTTACCAGTTCTGTGATGTGTGGGCCAGCTATGGACCCTGGGAAAGGCCGCTGCTCTTTTCTACAGGAGCGACTATGGGCTGCTGGTTTGCCCTGAGTACCCTGGTACTGGCTGTCAGCCCGGTTTCACAGGGACCCTCCTAATTTTACACATGAAGAGCTTGAAGGAAGACGCTGAAGCAGTCCCCCAGAGTGAAGTTCTGATGGCAGCCCTGCAGGCCTGGTTCACTGTGGACCTTTGTAATAGTGCTCTTTGGGTGCTGGGTGCTACAGGCTGGCTGAGAGCACTCCCTCCCTCTCTTCCCCCTTTGGCTACTTCATTTCTCAAGGTGGTCTCTGCTCTCTGCATTTATTATGTTTGGACAGACTCACTCTTGTGGAGGTTTTGGACCTTCTCTTGTTCCCTCAGGGTCCAAAGCATGCTACTTTAATTTATGTTCAAAAAGAAATCACTAGTCAGAGCAATTTTAAAATCCTCTAGTGTTAAGTGAGTAGTGTGAGTGAAATAATTATATTTACCATTTTCCATTTTCAAAATTTAAAATACAACTTGGACGACAAAATTAGAGAGTAAACAATATTATTCACCTTCAAATAAATGGTATATGTGCAATTTACTTTCAGCTAAGCTGCTGGGTTTCCCAGGTCTTATGAGCTAACAGCTGTGTGAGGAGTGAGGGTCGCGCCCCCTGCCTGAGCCTGCTGTGTGCTGCTCCGCGCCTGCGGGGTGGCACCTCTGTCGACACCCCAGCCCAGCCCCACGGTGTCTTTCTTTCCACGCTACAAGCTCTGTCCTCAGGTCTCACTGCGGCGTGGCACTTTGTGATAAACAAGCGGGCATGGGGCGCAGCCTGAGCTCTGCCTCCAAGAGGCTCCCCGCGCTGCGGCACTCGGCTCGGTCGTGATGAGCGCACGAGTCTCAGAGGCCGCGCCCGACGACGTGAGAGCAGAGAAGCCACAAGAGGGAGGCTTTGGCTAGGAGGCTTTGAATAAGTCACCAATTGACTTTTAAAATAACTGAAGTCATCTATTTTATAAAAATAGCTTGGGTTTTAAACAATTTACTGAGTGAATATACTGTGTAAGTTCAATTTTTTTTAAATATAGTAAAAA